CCTCCCTCTTCCTCTCTCTCTCTCTCTCTCTCTCTCTCTCTCGCTCTCTCTCTCTCCTGTGAAAGTGCTGGTGAAGGCCTGAAGGTGATGACATCAGGAAAGAGCGCTTCCCAGTATGCAACCCTCTGTTATTGTACACACGGTTTCCCGTTGGTCCCCAAGGCCCTCCGACCCCATGCGGCGTGGCTGACTGTCCCAGCAGCTGCCTGCATGGGAGCCGCTTCCCGCAGAGACCTTTCTCTCCAGCCCTGGAGGAGCCGGGCCGCTGTCTTGTGGCTCATGCTAGGGTTTGCTGCTCGGCTGTCCCCACTGGAAATCACGGGGCTGTCCTACTGCCAGGCTGCCGGTCACCACAGGTGAGGACAGTAAGTCCCCGAGTTCAGCCACTGGTTCCCTCTGGCACCCTTGGCAGGGATTTGTTTCCTAAGCACAGGAAACATCGCAGCCACTGCGCCCACAAACCCATGGCCTCTGCTCTCCAGTCCCTTGGTAGTGGGGCTCTGCTAGTGGAGCGGGCTGGGTGTGGAGTCCCCGTGAGTCTGGCTCTCACTCAGACCTGGGGTTCTGGGGTCCTTTCATTCGCCTCCCATGCTCCACTTTGAAATGGCCACCGCCCCGTCCGCATACCCACGCCCACTGTCAACCCCCTCCCACTTCCCAGGCAATGCCCCAGGGACACCTTCACTGGGGGCCGAGGTGCGGGGCTCTGAAAGCCGGGACCCCTGCCGGCGGCCACCCGCATGCTCACCCACAGCCTCTCACACACTCGGGTCCCTCAATGGCTGGCTGCACTGTGGTTCTAGCGAGGTGGCGGCAAGAGGAGCCCCAGCTCACTCTGCTGACTTTCGCACACATCTGAAGGATCCGATGTCTCGCAGCAGCGTAGACCAGGGAGAGTTTAGCTTTTGTTGTTCTGACCTAAAAAGTCCTTCAAGAGCTTAAATAGCCCTGTTGTTTCACACTGTGTTTCTTGAATTTCATTGCCCATTACCGGGTCCTGGGATGTTTAGATTTTCAAATGAGGACTCTGGTTTCCCCAGGAATAGCAAGCAAAGGAGAGGGAGTAATTCACCCGCGCCAGCGGCAGCCAGCTGTTGGCTCCACGGGATTAACCAGCAAACCCATTAGGAAAATCCCTTCTCCAGTCTGGTCTCTCCCAGCTCTTCTTTCTCCTTTTCACTTTTTCATATGCTTTAAAATCCCTCGCAGTCCTCCCTCCTAACTGCACAATATCAAAAGCTCTCTGTTCTAACCCTCTCCCTGGCTGGCTCAATTAATCACTTCTTTATTACAGGATTTGGCATCCTGCCCTCGCATCCACCAGCCCCGCTCCTCACTGCTTCCGTGGGGCTGGGCGTCTCCTTTCTCTTTTGCTTTCCTCCTTTAAGAGATATTCTCTATTTCATTTTCCTTCTCTCGCAGCCTTACTCTGCACCGATGCAGTGCACAGCCCCATCTCCTGTGCCAGCCCAGAGCCCCCTGCCTCTCTCTGCAGGAGCTGTGGCTGCCTGTGGGCGCCCACCCTGCACCCCAAGTGCCAGGCGCTGAGCACCCTTGTGGTAGCCTGCAGAGCTCTGTCCGAGGAGGAGTAGCCACCCCTTACAGAGGGAGAAAAGGGGCCATGGCCTCGACAACCAGCCACTGGGCTGGGCGGAGAACGGAGGCAGTGTGACTCGGGCTGAGTCTGGGAAGCTGACCATGGCTGTCCCACGGCGCCCGAGACCACCCAGCCCCAGCACGGCTGGCTCTGTGCTCGGGTGGCCACCCACTCCAAGGAAGGACAGCTCCCCCGCCACACCTGAGCGTCGTGAGGGTCACCTAGCTGTGGCCTGAGGACAGGACGTTCACCTGAAGGACTTGGTCAGTCACTGGTGCTGCCCACAGAGCAGCTCCTGCAAGGCTCAGCTTTTAGGGGAGCAGCTGAGTTACAACGCTCCAAGAAAGGTTTCTAGATGGAATGCAGTTTATTCTAACGTACATTAATCGAGGTTTTGCGATTGGTGTTTTTTCCAAGGCTCTATTTTGAAACTAACTTCCTGGCTTTCTGATACCTCTTTATTTAACTGCCTTAAAAAGCAGACCTGGGCCGGGGACTTAGTTCAGGGGTTTGGTGGCCTGCCTTGCAAGCGCAAGGACCCGAGTTCAATCCCCGGTACCAAAAAAAAAAAAAAAAAAAAAAAAA